GTGTGTGTGTGTGTGTGTGTGTGTTTTGAGGCAGGGTCTCGCTCTGCAGTTCAGGCTGGCCTTGAGCTCACTTTTTAGCCCAGGCTGGTCTCGAACTCTCACCGATCCTCCTGCCTCAGCCTCCCAAGTGCTGGGATTACAGGCGTGCGCCACCAAGCCCGGCTAGGATCTGGATCTGCAGGGACGAAAGTGGTCCTTGCAAAAGGGGGTCCACCTTCGTCGCTTTCTGAACTATGGCAACAAAATAGCGTCACTGGGGGAAGGCATACACAAAAAAAAGCGTGTTCGGGTCAAGACTGGCTAGAAAGTGCAAACACTGTTTCCTGGTGCGCCAGTCGCATCACGCACTTGGCCGGAGGACAAAGGGCAGTGCCGGCCCGCGCATGCGCAAGGAAGCAGAGGTGGACCCTGGCTCTTTACCTGCTAGCTGCAAGAACTAACGCAGTTCTGCCAGAACTGCGCTCACTGATGAGGAGGGTGGTGTCCCATCACCTTGGTTCACCGCCTCAGCCAGGTGTGGTGGTACACAACTGTAATCTCAGCATTCCTGGAGGCTGAGGCAGGAGGGTCACAAATTCAAGACTAGCCTGTGTAACTTAGTGACTTAGTGACACCCAGCTACAAATAATTAATAATAATAATAATAACATCGGAGGCTGGGGATTTAGCTCAGCGGCACAGCGCCTGCCTGGCAAGCGCAAGGTCATGAGTTCGATTCCCGGTACCGGAAGAAAAACAAAAACAAAACAAAACAAAAAATAATAATAACATCAACAATAATAGTAATAGAAGGGCTGGGGATTAGTTCTGTGGGATGGCCCTGGTTCAATCCCACTATGAGGAAAAAAGTTAAAAAAAAAAAAAAAATCCACTGCGTCTCAGTACCATGACATTGAACACTAAGCTTCCGGACCTTCAGGGAAATAAACAGACGGTAGGGCTCACTCGGTCACAAATATGGATCGAGCCCCTGCTCTGCCCCAGTCTGTGGACCCAAAGGCGAACAGCCCCCTTCCGGGGAGGTCAAGAAGGTCGCAGTGGGTGAGCAGGGCGGCTGCGTGCCGGGCCTGAGCCCAGGCAGTGTGCCCTCACCCACGCTGAGAAAGCCAGAGGGTGGAGCCCATCTCCCTGCTTTGAGGAAGCCAGGGGCCCTTTACAGAAGTCACGGTATGTTTGTTCTTGATAAAGAGCGTGATCTTGAAATTAGCCAGTACCAAATGTGAGGCTAAGAGTTGCTTTTATTCTCAATCCAAAAATATCCTGTTCTCTAACTGTATTTTTATTTATAGAATTCAGCTGCGCAAGTATCTTGCACTTCCTCCAAAAAAGCAGAAGTAACTCCGCTAAACTGGCTCAACCGAAACGCTCACCCAGAGGTACAGGAGTCCGGCACACACCCTCAGGTCAGAGGCACGTCTCTGATGTGCCAGGCATACTACTCACTGACCTTCACAGTAATACTGCAGAGTTTATAGTATCTGCCCACTCCAGAGATGAACCAGCTGAGCTCCAGAAAGTTAAAGAAACCTGCCCCTGGAGGGGTGTAGTGGCGCATGCCTATAATCCCAGCACTCGGGAGGCTGAGGCAGGAGGATTAGGCAAGTTTAAGGCCATCTGGGGCTATATAGTGAGTTTAGGACCATCCTGAACTACATACTGAGACCCTGTCTCAACAAAAACAAAAACAAAAACAAACAAAAACAAACAGAAGGAAAAACCTGCCCCTGCCAGCATGGGGATTTGTAACCCTGGGACTCTGGGAGGCTGAGGCAGGAGAATCTCAAGTTTGCACCTAGCCTGGGACAACTTAACGGGACTATATTTCAAAATAAAAATAGGGCAGTTGGGACTGATTCTAGAATCTATGCTTTTTTTTTTTTTTTAAACAATCAATTTGGTACAGAAACAATACAATAAGGGGACCAAAATAAAGTAAATTCAAAGAAAATAATTTATACTGTTCTTGTTCCCTAGTTCTCCTGAACGGGAATCCCTGTGACAATGTTTTTGACAAAATGGCTCCCAGAGGGGGCAGCAGCGGAGGGCAGCTTTGTTTGAGACTAGCACCAACAGGACATCTTGCAATGGAAGGGAATTCTACCACCGTGATTTTCAGGAAAGAGAAATTGAAACATTCATGAGGAAGCAGGGAGTGTGGGCTTCTCTGAGACAGAATGACTGAAACTGGACTGAGGGTTGACAGCTAGAGTGACTGGAAAGTTGTGGCTTCCCTGAGAGTTGGACAGACTGAGTAAGGGCCTCCCAGAGTTCAAGATAATCTGTGGAAGGAAATTGCAGTGAGTTTCAGCTCTCCAATAGACCAGACAGATAGAAGATAGACAGAAGATGGACAGGTGATTGATGGATACAATACAGATACAGATATCTAACTAGCCACATCTATAATTTTTTTGTCTTTTTGAGACAGGGTCTCGCTATGCAGTTCAGGCTGGCCTTGAGCTCACTTTGTAGCCCAGGCTGGCCTCGAACTTGCAACAATCCTCCTGCCTCAGCCTCCCGAGTGCTGGGATTACAGGTGTGCGCCACCATGCCCGGCTGCCACATCTATAATTTAAGGGGCCCTTTATTTTCGTCTTGCTGCTGTCTCATAAGACCTTCCCTAAACCCTCCAGGAGGAAGTGCCCTCCTCCTCCACCCACTCCAACTGCTACGTCCCTTTCCCTCCCTCTTAGGGCACGATCATCCCTCGGGGTGTCTCATGGTTGCCTCAAATTGAGCCTGCTGGAAACGGAACTCCAGCTCATCTCCTAGTTAATGAATCATCACTAGGTGGGCAGAAGAACGCATTTCAAAACCTTGTTCTCTCACTCTCCCCCGTTGTAGTGGCGAGCACTCATCAAGGTAGAACCCGGAGACCTCCTGTTCTTTCCTTACCTCACCGCCTGTGACTGCATCCCTACTTGGCCAGCAAATCTTGTGGGCTTTTCCTCTAAAATATTTCTCTTTTTTTTTTTTTTTTGGTCTTTTTGATACAGGATCTCGCTATACAGTTCAGGCTGGACTTGAACTCACTTTGTAGCCCAGGCTGGTCTCGAACTCACAGTGATCCTCATGCCTCAGCCTCCCGAGTGCTGGGATTACAGGCATGCACCACCACACCCGGCTCCTCTAAAATATTTCTTCAATCCATTTACATCTATCCATCCCCACGTGTCCACCCCATTGTTGCTTTTGTCTTGCATGAATGCAATAGCCTCTCCGTGAGCACCTTGTACTTGTGACCCGTAACCCCTCTACCCTTGAATGAGTTAACTTCAAGGATGAAAAATAGAATCCTAACACTCCCCTGCAGCCCCGAATAGCTTAAACTCTTCCCATGGCTCCAAGCCCCTCAAAACTTGTCCCGCTCCCTCCCCAGGCTCACATGGGGTCACCTCCCCTCGTGTGACCTTCAGCCTACCATGCTCCTTGCAGGTCCTTGGACCTGTCAGGCCCATCCCAAGCTGGAGCTCTGGATGCGCTGTGGTCCCTTGACTAGAGCCCCTCTCCCTGCGTCTCCCCACGGCTAGCTCCTCATCCTGCAGGGCTCTGCCTCAGTATCAGCCCCTCAGAAAGCCCTCCCTCACTGCCCTGGCCAGGGAGGGGTCCCCCACCCTCTACTTCCCACGCTCCTTCCCTTTGCATCAGCCAGCGCAGCTTGCGATGTGTTTGTCTGGGTGACAGCGCTCTGTGTCTCCCGCCGCAACACTGTGAGCTCCGCAAGGGCAGGAGCTACTAGGGACCCGGGGCTCGGATATCCGGGTCTTCATTAAACATATGGCGAGCAGCTCCATGATGGGTGAATTTGTGTTTGTGGCTTTACCCTCCATCCTTACGGGCTGGGGACATGACCATGCCTTACACATCACTGAAATCTCGGGGCGCCGTTGCTTGCACACAGTAGGCGCCTGATAGCTACCTGCTGCCCTGGTGGTGCCATAATCTACCAAAGCAGTTCTACAGGGCAGCGTGATGGTGCCGATAAACTGCAGGGAAGTCCTGCCCAGAAAACACACATCTTCACCTGTTCCCTGCCCACCCCTAGAGAATATTGTCAGTGAAGTTAATGCCCCTTGCAGTACCCACCCCTTTCCAGCACTGTGTCTGCAGGGGTTTCCTCCCGCTGCTGCATATGCCTTTGACAATTGTGACTTCGACTTAGTTTATGCCAAAAGATTGTTGGCTCTAATCTGTAAACCATAGCACTGTCTAAAACCTTCTGCAAAAATGTCTGTCTACATAAATATGTATCTATAATGTTATGAGCATTTCTCTGGGAAAGGTATCAATTACTATCATTAGGTTATTAAGACAATTATGACCTTAAAGCTGAGAATCAATCTGGGTGTGGTGGCGCACGCCTGTAATCCCAGCACTTGGGAGGCTGAGGCAGGAGGATCATTGCGAGTCCGAGGCCAGCCTAGGCTACAAAGTGAGCTCAAGGTAGCCTGAACTGCATAGCGAGACCCTGTCTCAAAAAAAAAGACAAAAAAAAAAAAAAAAAAGCTAAGCATCACTGACCTGGGCCTTGGTGTCCAGTAGAATTTTCTGTAGTGAATGGAGATGTTCTCCGTGGTGCAGTGTGGCAGCCACCAGCCACTTGTGACTTTTGAGCAGCTGAAATGTGTCTCGTGGGAACACGGAATGGAACTTTTTACGTCACTGATTTTAATTAATTTGAATTTAAATTTAAAATAGTGACCTATGGGGCTGGAGATACAGTTCAGTGGCACAAGCACCTGCCTGGCAAGTGCGAGTTCCTGAGTTCCATTCCTGGTACCAAATAAACTAAAGAAAAGCAACAAAAAAGAAACAAAAGAATAGTGACCTATGGCTAGTGGCTCCCATACTGGATAGGCAAGACATAGAGAATCACTCAGAGGTGATCGGGAAGTGATGGTCCATTAGTTTGTAAGACTCTAGGTATAGCCGGGCGTGGTGGCACACGCCTGTAATCCCAGCACTTGGGAGGCTGAGGCAGGAGGATCGTTGCGAGTTCAAAGTGAGCTCCAGGCCAGCGTGAACTGCATAGCAAGACCCTATCTCAAACAAAACAAAAAGACTCCAGGTACAATTAATTACACAGGTTTCCAGTCTGTCTCACAGAGGCCCATTATCAAGGTCACCTTCAAAGTTCAGGCCATTGAAGTTGGGCTATCGGAAACGTGGGGCGGGAAGATAGCAGAGAAAAATGCCAAATGATAAGATGAGTTTGGACAGGAAGAGTACTGGCAGGGAGGCACCTGACTGCAAGCGTAAGAGGGCGGGAAGGGGTCGGGCTGACAAAGCTCTCTGCGGGGCTTAACCCTGACTCCAAGATATCTTCATCAAGTCTTCAGAAAAAGTCTTTTTTTTTTTAGCCACAGGGTGGGGATCGTACAATAAAGCATCTAGAAAAGATTTAACAATTTTACACTGGAGATCTATGAGTTTTGCCGAAAGATCTAAGACGGGGATCTGAAATAGTCCCGAAGGCTTTGAAAGGTGAATTGGAATTATTAAAATAAGAGCTCGCGGGGCTGGGGATTTAGCTCAGTGGCACAGCGCCTGCCTGGTGAGCGCAAGGTTGTGAGTTCGATTCCCGGTACGAGAAAAATAAAATAAAATAAAATAAGAGCTCGGTAACAAACTCCCCGGGTTTGCTCTGATTAGATCTCAGACGGCCCTCAAAGGTGTCGTGTGTTCTTGCGGGCGCTGATAGATCACGCTCTCCTCCCGCAGCAGATTCGCCCTGATGGCATCGCTGATGACACGATGGGAGTCCTGGGAGCGGAAGCCGCGCTGAGTGGAGGAAGCAGATAACGGGCCGTCGATCTTGCCCCCAGCCCCTTCTCGGCTCTGTCCCCGTCTCTCTGCTTCCCGGCTGCCTGGAAGGGAGCAGCTTTCTTGTGCCACTATCTTCCTCCCTGAGGCTTCCCTCACCCATGGCCTGAAAGCTGTGGAAGCAGCTGACCACAGACCGAAACTTTTGAAACTTTTATTTATTCATTTATTTTTTTTTTTGTCTTTTTGAGACGGGGTCTCGCTATGCAGTGAAGGCTGGTTTTGACTCACTTTGTAGACCGGCCTGGTCTCAAATTCGCAACGATCCTCCTGCCTCAGCCTCCAGAGTGCTGGGATTACAGGCGTGTGCCACCATGCCTGGCTGAAACTTTTAAGCCAAATAAACTAACTAACTAAAATAAAATAAATCACTCCCTTCCTTCAAGAAGTTTTCTCAGGTATCCGGTCAGGCTGACAAAAGCGGACTGACACCAGGCACCTGAGTACGTGCAAGAGGCATGCACAGCCCTTTGTGCAAAAGGAAAGAATCCCGCAAGTCACGGGCCCTCCGAGCAGCGAGTGACCTACTCACCCTCCATCCTGAAGGAGAAGTCGAGGCTGTATTTCGGGCAGTTGAAAACTTCAGCTTTGCATTTGTAAGGGCCCACCTCACCGGGTGTGGAGATTGTCAGGTTAAAAATCACGGGTTCACCCTTTCCTTTCTTGGTTGCCACATGTTTCTGACCCAAAAACAGTGAGTAGGTGATTTGCAGTGATCTGTTCTCGTTGGAACAAAACAGAGACACGTTTTGTCCCCTTGTGATCACAGGAGTCCTTGAGTTCAAACTCGGAGAAGGGAATTCTGGAAAACAAAAGGATGCAGGAAGAAGCCCGTGTGAAAATCCGATAGTCATAACTCCGTGATTGAGTAGCCATCGTCTATGGTCAAGTGCCAAGGACAACCCGTTCCCTGACTACCGGGGCTCCTTGCAGTCACGGGCAGACACGGGCAGGCAAACCCTTCTGAGGCGGGTGACAGTCTCGCCAGGGAAAATCTGCAGTAGGCTCCATTAACACTGGCTAGGCCAGCCTAGCGTGGGGACAAATGTCTGTGGTCCCAGCACAGGAGACTGAGGCAGGATTTCCATAAATTCCAAGGAGCCAGGCATGGTGGCACACGCCTGTAATCCCAGCACTCGGGAGGCTGAGGCAGGAAGATCACTGTGAGTTCGAGACCAGTCTGGGCTACAAAGTGAGCTCAAGTCCAGCTTGAATTGCGTAGGGAGACTCTGTCTCAAAAAGATAAGAAAAACATTGGGGCTGGGGATTTAGCTCAGCAGCACAGTGCCTGCCTGGCAAGCGCAAGGTCATGAGTTCGATTCCCAGTACTGGAAAAAAAACAAAAAATAAAAAAAAAAAGATAAGAAAAACAAAACAAAACATAAGTTCCAAGGATAGCCTGGCTATACAGATGATTCAAGGCCAACCTGAATTACAATCTAAGAAGCTATTTCAAAAAAAAAAAAAAAAAGGACACTAGGCAGACTTGGAAATATAAACAGAGCTCCAACTTCTATGACCAAACCCCATGTCGATGGCTTGTTTGGATAACTATTTTTATTTATGTATGTATTTGTTTTTTTGAGATAGCATCTCCATATGTAGTGCAGGCTGGCCTTGAGCTCACTATGTAACCCAAACTGGCTTTGAACTGACTACAGTCTCCTGCCTCAGCCTCCCAACTGCTGGGATTACAGGCGCGTGCTGCCATGCTTGGCTTTATTTTAATTTTTTTCTTTTGGAATATTTCCAATATGCCACACATAAAACAATGTCAGGAACCCCTGTGCTGTACCCTCACCCAGCCTCAGCATCGGTGAGCACACGACCAGTCATCCCGTCTCATCCGCTCCTGCTACCGAGCCCTTCTGTCCCTGCTATGGCTTGAGCTCACATCGGAGCTGGATCCCCACTGTGGGGCGTGAGTGAGGCGGACGCAACCTGACCCTGGCGCTTGGAGGCAGAGCCTTTGGAAGTGACTCGGTTTGAATAAGGTCACCAGGCTGGGGCTGCTGGAGACCAAGCTACGTAAAGGGTAAACTGCTGACCCCTGAGCTCTGAAGACAAGATAACATCGCAGCTGGGGCAGCCCAGGATGTGGGCTCTCGCTCCAGTTCTCAAGATAAGACACTTCTCTTAACTGGCAAGATACACTGCTTGGAGAAGTCGCTGATGTAAACGTCCGGAGGTCCTGCTCAGCCCCCGCCTTCGCCTCAGTACCCCACTCCTGCGTTTGGAAACCTAATCACATGAGTGCTCCAGAGCGCTCGTGGTCTGAGCTCCCAGAGAGATTGACCTTCCTGGGACCCAAGGTCATATTACTTGTCTCTTTTCCTTTTTTTCTTTTTTGGACTTTTTTGAGACAGGGTCTCGCTATGCAGTTCAGGCTGGCCTTGAGCTCACTTTCTAACCCAGGCTGGTCTCCAACTCACAATGATCCTCCTGCCTCAGCCTCCTGAGTGCTGGGATTACAGGCATGTGCCACCACTCCTAGCTTGTCTCTTTTCTTTAAACCTTCACTGTAACTCCTTTTAGATTTTGGGGTAGCCAAGTCCCGGAGAGGGGCCCCACTCCTGAATCTGGTGGCTGGGAGGAGAGGGGGACCAGAGGCCGCACACCCACGTCGCCCCCTGTCTCCTGCCAGGCGATGCCCTGTGCCCCCTGAGGACCCTGCCAGCAAGAACCCTGTCCGCACAGGCAACTCTAGAGAACGGTGAGCCGAAATAAATTAATTTTTCAATGATGTAGCCTGGAGAAACCCAACGGAGACATTTCTAAAGCAAATCCCAGGCTCCACACTCTTTGATCCAGAAGTTCAATACTGAAGGAGAGAGAAGTGGCCCCCGGCAGCCAGGAGCTGAACTGTCCCAGCGCGGCCTGGTGTTGCACTGTTGAACACGAATGATCTCCGCCATCTCATGGACACCCGCCGGGCCACCCCCTGACCGTGAGGGATGGACACAGAGACAAGAGCTCTTCACGATGGTGGTCAAACGTGGAAAAGACGCAAACGTCCAACCACGGAACTAGCCGAGCGTCCCCCAAAATGGCTTCTGTGAGCGACTGCCACTGCTTAACCAATCACAGTGTGAAGATTATCACACAGAACGGAGTCATTCCTGTCACACCCCACTAACATGGAGTCAGGGGGCTGTGAGGAAAACACCCGGGTCATGGAACTGTCTCCTAAGACCAACCCAGTGAAGCAACTGCCACAACTAGCATGCTAAGACTACTTTATTTTTCTTTTTTTTGTCTGTTTGAGACAGGGTCTCGCTATCCAGTTCAGGCTGAACTTGAGCTCACTTTGTAGCCCAGGCTGGTTTCAAACTTGCGATGATCCTCCTGCCTCAGCCTCCTGAGTGCTGGGATTACAGCCGTGCGCCACCATGCCTGGCTAAGACTACTTTTTCTTAGCAACTATTTTGAAACAACCAGCTCTGACTTTAAGAATAGTTTTACCTTGTGACCGTAGCCCCTCCCCACAGCTCATCAGCTCTCCTATTAGGCCACAAATGCCAATAAGTGTCTTTCTTAGCGTGTGGAGGCACACAGCTGTAATCCCAGCACCCTGGCAGGCTGAGGCAGGAGGAACGCAACCTGAGCCCAGCCAAGGCAATTTGGTGATTTAGCCAGACCTTGTCTCAAACTAAAAAATAATAAAGAGGGCTGGGAATGTAGCTCAGTGAGAAGTGTGTGCTCCCCAGGAGCAGGAAAGAAAAATAAAATTAAAATAAAATAAAAACCCTCAGGAAACTTTTACCACCGCCCCCCATAGAATTCCAGCCTTTCTTTCATCCCTCTGACATGCCGGAGGCCACCCCGGCCTGTGCATTTGCTTCCCAGATCGCAGACCTCTTCTTTGTTTATTCCCAAATAAAAATTCCTTTTGTGGACATCGTGGAGATTATACTTGTGTTTGACTGATAACAGCTTAACCTTTCTCTGCTGTCCGCAGCTTTTAGACGAGAATCACTACATCACCAGCTAGGGAGTTCTTCCCACTTCTTAGAAACATTAGATCCTGAGCAAAACCCACTTCTTTGACTTCTTCAAATCACCGAACAGAAGTCCCCGTCCCCCACTAAGTTCCTTCAGCACCGTCCTGCCGTGGTGCCCCGCGGGGCCTGCCCCCTCACAGCGTCATCCAGAGACCCGGCTTGGTTGGTTCATCTGCTCGCCTGTCACTGGGGTCCTTTGGCGGCAGGACAGCGACAGTTTGTAGCTCTAAATGATAACGTGTTGTGGTGGACTGACAACTGGTGGTCAACTTGTGGCCCCAGTGGAACTGACCCAGCGTGGCACGGGGTGTGGGAGCCCCCTGAGGACTGCTGCCAGCAGCGTACAAGGCAGAACTGGAGAGGAAGAAGAGAGGCTGTTGGGAGCTGGTAGAAGCTGTAAGGAGCTGTTGGTTCTCTTGGAGGAGCTCGTCATGCTGGCTTTGCTGATGAACTTCGCTGTTCTCATTGTCCGAGGAGCTCGGGACCTTGTCGGCCCTGAGGATGGCTTCGGCTCACTTTGGGGGAGCTCTGGTCCTCACTCTGAGCATCGCTTCCTGGCTGCGGAGGGGAAGATGGTGCTGGTACAGATTTTCCAGCTTCCACCACTGACCTTTGGGCCTTCCCAGCGCAGATCCAAGAAACAGGCCTGCGTGAGATACTGTCATGGTCCCTGGGCCTCCAGTTAGACTCGAGGAGAGGGCATTGCTATGGGTTCCACGTCTTCAGCTGGATGCTTTGGTGTTTAGTGTGTGGAGAGATTTCCTGCACTCTGTATGATTCTTTGGGTGACTGTTATAAAATAATCTTATAAAATATGTGTTCTGTGTTATATTGCTTCAAAACCCCAAAGTACAATACACACACACACACACACACACACAGTGTCACAAACAAAAATTGACAATTTAAAAAAAATCATCAAATATCCAGTTAGTATTCAAGTTTCCCTAATTGTGTTTTCATTTGACTTTGTTTACATTTTCATGGGATTTCTTATCTTTTCTTTCTTTTTTTGGAGGGGTTCTTTAAGACAGGGTTTTGCTTGACAGGACTGTCCTGCCTCATCTTCCCGAGTGCTGGGATTACAGGTATGCCACCACGTCCAGCCTTGAATTGAGTTTCATATCTGTATGCTCTTTTCAATTGATTGATTCTTTTTTTTTTGGTCTTAAAAAAAAAAATCTACCAGGGGGCCGGGGATATAACTCAGTGGCACAGTGCATGCTCGGCAAGCACAAGGTCCTGAGTTCGATTCCCAGTACAAAAGAAAAAAGAAAGAAGAATCTACTGCGGTTGGAGAATGTAGCAAGATGGTAGAGCACATGATGTTTGAGACCGTGGGATCAAACCCGGCACCGAAACAAAACAAACAATAGTGTTTGCGAGCTTGTTTTTAAAAATTATTATTGAGGAATGCCCAGAACCAGGCGCGTTGGTGCATACATGGACTCAAGGGGAAGTCAAGGCTAGTCTTGGCTGTAATACAATTTGAGCCAGGGGTAGTGGCGCACACCTGTAATCCCAGCACTCGGGAGGCTGAGGGAGGCTGAGGCAGGAGGATCATTGTGAGTTCGAGACCAGCCTGGGCTACAAAGTGAGCTCAAGGCCAGTCTGGACTGTATAGCGAGACCCTGTCTCAAAAAGACACGCACACACACAAAGAAAGAAAAAAAGAAAAGAGGCTATGTCATAAACTAATTGAAAATCAATAAGAAAACAACACTAGTAAATGGACACATAGTATGAATAGGTAATTCCCAGAAGACATGCAAGTGGCCAGTAAATCTAGGACGGCCGGCGC